CCCTCGGGATAGATTTGTAACATCATAGAATCTCAGGGTTGGAAGGGACCCCAGGAGGTCACCTACTCCAACCCCCTGCTCAAAGCGGGACCGATCCCCAATTTTTGCCCCAGATCCCTAAATGGCCCCCTCCCCGAATCCAAGCCCAGGTCCTGCCAGGAGGGCACATACAGTTCCCCTGCCCCTGGCTGTGCCAGACCCCGTCCCTGGGCTTTGTTTGTGGTGAGCTCTGCAGCACTCCAGGGGGGCGCCCGCACAGCATGGTCCTCCATGTCCGACTGCGGGGAGGGCGGAAGGGAAACGGCCTTGAAATCTAATCCAGGATGCTCTAGAAACCAATAGTGCTGAGCTCAGCGTCTGCGAGCCTGCAGAGGAGTCTGCTTATTTTTAGATAAGATGGAGCAGGGGCTGGGAGTGCGGGATGCAAGCTGCCCAGCCTGCCTGTGTGGCTGATGAGGTGGCGAGGGGCGGGGAGACTGCAGGCTGCGGCAGGCACTTCCTTTGCACCATCGCTCTTGAAAATGTAACGTGCGCTGCCATCATTCTAGTCTTCCCTTTTTTTTAACCGCCTTTCCTTTGGGAGGGGCTGCCACGGGAGCAGGGAAATCCGTAGAGTTACTCTGCATGTACCCCAGTGTCACTGAAGCCAGGATCTGGCCCCTCCTCCATCCAAACGGCGCCGCGCAGGCCAAATCCTGCAGTCCTTACTCAGTCAAAACTCCCACTGAGGTGGGGCGCTCAGGCAAAGGGGGTAGTAGTGCCCCCTGGGGCTGGAACAGCAGCGTGGGGAGTGTTGATGAGATCTGCTTCCCAGCCCTGCAGAGACACTGCTCAGCAATTTGGGACAGGAAGTGGAGGGGTCTGCCTCCATAGGAAGCAGCAGGAGGAATTCACAGAAGTGCTTAGGGCTGGTCTACACTACAGACTGAGGTCGACATAAGCCACGTTAAGTTGATCTAATGATGTGTGTGTCTGCAGGACCAAGTCCCTTCCACCGACCTAAGTGGCTTGTAACGTTGACTAACCCAGGTTTGTTAATGAGACACGTGATGGCTCAGCCCCTTGGCGTCAGGTCTCCCAGTACAAGGAGTTACAGTTCTGCTGGAAGTTGCAAGTGGCCCACACGTTGGGTAGGATGGACACATGCACACACACACACGAAGCACCTACATTGTGTGAGAAAGAGAAGACAGCCAGGCTACATTTCAGCAGCAACAGTGCTGGGTTTCCTGCATACCTTGTTTCTTGTCACTAATGAAGTACATAAGCTATCCAGGCATCATTGAAAGGGCACCAGGAACGGAGACCCGGGGCGCAGGAGCAGCCAGGAGATGGGCATGTGGGTTGCAAAAGTCTGATGCCCATGACATAAGGAGGAAGGCAAAAGAAGGATGGGATTGTTAGTCTGTGGAAGAGAAGAATGAGGGGGGATTTGATAGCTGCTTGAAAGGGGTTCCAAAGAGGATGGCTCTAGACTGTTCTCAGTGGTAGCAGATGACAGAACGAGGAGTAATGGTCTCAAGTTGCAGTGGGGGAGGTTTAGGTTGGATATTAGGAAAAACTTTTTCACTAGGAGGGTGGTGAAGCACTGGAATGGGTTACCTAGGGAGGTGGTGGAATCTCCTTCCTTTGAAGTTTTTAAGGTCAGGCTTGACAAAGCCCTGGCTGGGATGATTTAGTTGGGGATTGGTCCTGCTTTGAGCAGGGGGTTGGACTAGATGACCCCCTGAGGTCCCTTCCAACCCTGAGATTCTATGATTCTATGATTCTAAAACGCCCGCGGTGAGGCCCGTCCCTCCTCACAATCATGGGAGATGTGGTAAAGGTTCAAGCAGCAACGTGAACTGGCTGTGAAAGCTGCAGGGACTGGCAGAGTGGCAGATGACCAAAAACCACTGATGCTGCTCCTGTTGGGGGTCTGGTGCAGAAATGTTGGGCATATGTGACAGGTCTATGTGAGGGACACAATGCTGGTACAGGCAGTACATACATGCAATGGGTCTAATGCTGGGTATATGGGACGGGTATATGCCCTGTGCATATGTGATGAATATAGCACTGGGTGGATGGGACAGGTGTAACGCTGGCTATATGTGATGGGTACAATGTTGGGTATAGTGATGGTTGTAATGCTGGGTACACACACTGGGTATAGAGTTTGGGGCAGTGCGCAGTATATGAAATGGGTATATGCATTGAATAGAGCAATGGGTATAGCATTTGGTGTAGCATGGGGTATATGCAATGGGCACAGCAATGGGTGTAGCGCTGAGTATCACACTGAGTTCCATATCAAGGATAGAGGTGGGAGGGAAAGAACGACAGAAGGAATCGTGAAAAGGTCTGGGAGTCACAGGGCCCCCAGGAAGGGGGTTCCCCTTCCAAGGCCTGGCCCCTGGGGGCGGAGAAGTTCATCGTCACACCTTAACCTTTAACAAGTCCCGTCCTGTGAGTTGGCCCATCGTGGGGCCGGATTGTGGTGTCTGGCGCACGCCAGGTGCTCAGCACGTTACGGCAGTCCGGCCCCGAACAACGCCCTGGCTACAGACCCTCACTCTGGACTGCCCCCTGCAGAGAGCTGCGCTGGGCACTTGCCAAGGCGGCACTGCTCAGCCAGGCAGCAGGACAGAGAGATGGGCAAGCGCCTGCAGAGGGGCAGAGGGCACGTGGCTGGAAGCCCCAAGTTTGAGCAGGGCGGGGAGCATTCAGCAATGCCAAGCACCTGACTTGGAGGGGGCATGGGGCCACTGGGCTGGCGTGGGGAACGCCCAGCCATCGGGTGAGTGTGTGGAGACCAGGATCAGCCCCACGCCTAGGGGAGGACAGAGGCTGAGCTGAAAACGCAGGGGCTAAATGTGCAAAGGGGGACTCTTGAGGGCAGGGGAATTGCTGGGTAGGAAGCCAATACTGCTGCTGTCTAGTCTGGCTGTGCATCCTATACCTGTAGCCTGGCTTAGGGGTGGGAGCGTCCAGCACCCTGCCAGCTCTGACGGGTGTGGTGGCTAACAGGTGCCCCAGGAACCGCGATGGGACGTATCAGATCACCTCCCCTGGGTTGGCCTGGAGGTCTCCCATCTCTCTGCTGGCCCAGGTCAACCATGCTTGGTTTGAGGAGGCAGCCAGCACACAGCCTGAGGCTGTGTCTCCATTACCTTCCCCTCCCTGGGCCCACTTCTGCCACCAGTGTACCTAGTCTCCATGCCGCCTGCTCAGGCCTGGCCAGTCCTGTCTCAGATCCCCCAGATGGGACCCACCCTGGTGCTGGGCTCGCCCGTGGTGGCACTCCATGACTGATGTCACAGCCCCATGACACCATAGCAAGGAAATCACGTTGCCTTGAACAAGGTCTGGGAGCTCCAGGATGGCTCCCTGAACCCACTGAGACTCTGCCACAACCCCTGGGGCAGGTGATCACCCCTGGCCCTCCCACAGCTCTGGCTAGCTTGCCCCTGGCTAGCTTGCTCTGAGCCCCCCATGGCACCTACTGCCCCGAGCATGCCAGGATGTGGCATTGCCCTGGGGAAGGCTGGCCAGGGCCCGGGTGGCAGAGAGCAGCTGTTCCAGAGCCAGGTGCAGTGGACAGGCCGGGCGGTGCTTTGTACCAGTGTGCAGGGCTGCCTGGCGAGGGGGCTGCAGCCACAGCAGAGGAACCCAGGGCTGTTTCATGGCGCCATCGGTTCTGAGGTTGGACGCTTCCTCCATTACTGGCGGCGGGCAGGCAGCGGTGAGGGCAGGAGGCTCCGTGGGGCACGGCAGCCCATTAATCATTGTATGGGAACAGCAAAGTGACCTCTGGTTAGTGAGCGCAGACCACGCAGGGGCCATTACAGCACAAATGATATTACATAAAGCAGCCATTAGTGTTTGTCTGTTGCCAGGGGAACCAGAGGCCTGCTTGGTCATGGTCACTAGAGGGGAGGAGGGAGAGGTCTTTCTTTCTTTCTTTCTTTCTTTCTTTTTCTTTCTTTCTTTCTTTCTTTCTTCACTCCCTCAACCTTTACAATTCCCCCCCACTCCTCCCGCAGTTTGATTTGAATGCAGCATTCTGCTCCACTTCCTGTCCTAACCTCTTGCACAGCATTCCTGTGCACTGTTACATGGTTGCCGTGTTCCACCCCAGAGGTGGCTGCATTCCAGTGTGCCATGAGTGAGCCACGTGCAGCGTTGCTGTCCAGTATTCAATTATTGCTGTGCTCCAGCCCAGTGGTGGCTGCAATGACCCCCTACCCCTTCTATTAGCAGGAGGAGGTTTTCCTTTCACTATCAAAGGGATCCTCTAGGGATACTGTGAGGAAATACTCGAGTCAGTTTCCAGCCAACAGGGGGCGCTGCGGGGAATGCGACAAGGTCACTAAGACAGGGTCCAACCACTGACAAGGGCTGGTCCGGAGCCCAGCCGCTCCCAGCTCCTACTCCTAAACCTGCGAGTCACAGCTCATGGGGGCTATTACCATCTGCCTGGGGCAGATGAGAACCAGGGTGGGTGACTCCGCCGGAGCCAGTGAGCACCCGCCTCACTCCACCACCCTTTGGGGCTGCACTGTGCACTGGGAGGATGGCGTGCTGGTGGAATTAATGGGGGGGGGGTGATGGGGGCTGTTGGGCCATCTAGGGCAGGCTCGACCCAGCACTCCCCACTCTAATGCAGCCCCCAGCTCCTTCTGTGGCTGCTTGGTCCAGGCCAGGAGTTGGGACGTCCCCCTGTGACTGCCTCAGGCTGGGAGCAGGGCAGAAGCACAGGGTCTATGCGCCCAGCAGCCTCAGCACTGCATCCTCTTTCTGCGTGGGGCAGCCCCACACGGGACATGGGCATCTTGTGGCCAAGGCAGACTTGCCCCTGCCATCCTGAGAGCGGGCTGGGGGCAGCGGGCTGGTCGCTGCCAGCAGGGGGCGCTGCTCAGAGCGGGGCCTAGGGGCCTGGTGTGGGGTCAGGATGTGGGGAACGGGGCTGGCGAGGGGGTGCTGGGTTGCAGAGCCTCATGCCTGGCTTTTCCTTTCAGATTCAGAGCAAAGCAGCAGTCCGAGGACAGGGATCGGCTCGGACCAGGAGGACAGCAAACCGATCACATTGGGTAAGTCAGCACTGGGCAGGGGGGTCCCCTCACCCCTCTCTTGCCAGCTTGTGGGAGGGTAGATCTCGCATGTAGACCCTATTTAAAGCTCGCTCTCAGAACCCCTTCGGGGCAGGGAAAGAAGCCATTCGGGTACTGAGGCAGTTGACACCCTCCCCGTTCACCCTCTGCAAACCCAGGGGCCAGGCCTCTCGCTGGCCACAAGAGTGATGACTTTGGGGCTCTCACAGCCTAGTGTCCCCTGGTGGAAAATCTCTGCACAGCGAGGCCTGAGAACAGAGGAGAGGGAGGAGGCGTTTCTTAAAGCCCCAGCACCTGAGGTCAGGTGCTTATGGGAGAATCTCAGCTTTGGTTTAAAAAATACCCCAGGGACGTTTCTCACCCTTGTGGCTGTGGAGAAAAGCTGGAAGACCTGACACCTCTGCAGCCTGAAGGCAAAGGACAAGAGCCCCCGGTTAGTTAGCTGTTACATCTCAGGATTAGTGGGGACTGCCCCATCATTCTGGGGTGCTTTGAGGGAGGCAGGTTTCTGCTCAGAAGAGGCCGGGGCTGGGACAGAGGAGGGGCTGTGGGGTGGGACTGAGGGGCAGCAGCAGAGCTGTTGGGGGAGCCCTGGACTGGAAGCATTGGGGGGTGATGGGAATTTAGGGCCATTGCAGAGCTGTGGGGGGACCCAGCACCAGAACAGTGGAGGGGCTGCAAACCAGGGGCATGGGGCATTGGCAGAGCTGGACATGGGAAGCTTGTACAGCGCTCGTGCATGCTATGCCAGGCTCTCTTGTCAAATTATCGCCCAGGCCGCTTCTCCCAGAGCGGGTGTGGGGGGTCCTGAGGGGCACAGAGAGAATCACACAGCTGTCCCAGGCTCTTTGCCACAGCGCTCCCCACCTGGGGAACAGCTGAACAGACCTCACTCCTGCCGCAGGGGGCCCCAGCCCACCCTGGGCCAATGCAGTCCCACGGGCGGGTTCTCACTCCTGCCGCAGGGGGCCCCAGCCCACCCTGGGCCAATGCAGTCCCACGGGCAGGATCTCACTCCTGCCGCAGGGCCCAGCCCACCCCAATGCAGTCCCACGGGCAGGATCTCACTCCTCCCAGGGGCCCCAGCCCACCCCGGGCCAATGCAGTCCCACGGGCGGGTTCTCACTCCTGCCGCAGGGGCCCCAGCCCACCCTGGGCCAATGCAGTCCCACGGGCGGGTTCTCACTCCTGCCGCAGGGGGCCCCAGCCCACCCTGGGCCAATGCAGTCCCACGGGCGGGTTCTCACTCCTGCCGCAGGGGGCCCCAGCCCACCCCGGGCCAATGCAGTCCCACGGGCGGGTTCTCACTCCTGCCGCAGGGGGCCCCAGCCCACCCTGGGCCAATGCAGTCCCACGGGCGGGTTCTCACTCCTGCCGCTGGGGGGCGCTGGGGAGCCCCAGTCCAGCCAAGCCCCGTAGAAGTGGGAAGGTTTTAGCCGAGTTTTGCATTGCAGCGGCCAGCAGCACAGACACCTGCTCCTTCAGGGGCCCCTCTTCCAAGGAGATCAGACAGCCCACAGCAGGACCAGGAGCTGGCAGGGTGAAGCCCAGGTGCTCCCAAGGGGTCATGTTTGTGCTTCCCCCTGAGAACTGCTGGGGCCTTTTCAAGAGCTCATGGTTCCCTCTTGCCAGCAGTCGATGAAGAAGATGCTGAGGGCATCCAGGCCTCTCCAGCGGGCACCCCAAGCCAGTGGTTCTGTGCCTGAAGGCCAGGCTGAGGCTCTGGACTAAGGCACCCACCTTAGGCGCCCGTATTCACAAGCTCCCAGGCACAGAGTCAGAATAAACATCCCTTTGCATGAAGCGAGCTGGGAGCTCAGATTCACGCAAGGATTTGCAAACACGGGCCATTAACTCAGGGAGATGGGGCTGGGCTGGGTGCGGTGGGTAGCGCTGGAGAGAGGGTCAGACGAGCACAGATAGAAGAGCTGGATGTTAATGGAGGGCAGAACTTTCCCCACCCAGGCAGGAATATTAACCCTTCACTCTAGGAAGGCCGCTTTCCGGAGGATGGGGGGGGAGGGGGGAGGGTAATTGGGTTCTGCAGATGAGGTAACACCGAGAGGTTCATCTGTTAGTAATGTCAAGGGAGGGGTGTCCACAGCGACACCCCGGAGTTCGCACCACGGCTGTGCTGGGCCCCTGCAACAAATATTACTTGTTATTTGTATTAAGTGGCACCTAGAGGCCCCCAAGAAAGATCAGGGCCCCACTGCCAGGAGCTGCCCAGACACCAAGAGAGACAGCCTGGCACCCCAAGGGTGGGAAGGGGACCCAGAGGCCCAGAAGCAGGCCAGTGGTAGAGGCAGAAGGAGAACCCAGGTGTCCTGAGGCCTGGGCCTCCCCACAGGCTGCATGGTTTTAGAGAAAGCAGCTGTCCACGTCACTGACAAAAGCACATTTTGGTCGGCTGCGTCTGTGTGACTGAGCCAACAAGACGGAGGCAGAAGAGCAGGGAGAGAGGGCTCCCAGCCAGCCTGCGCCAGCTAAATCCCTGGCTGCCGCTGGCCCAGGGCATCCCCAGAGCAGCGCCCGGAAGTGCTGGGGTGAAAGGTGAGGCGCCGAGATGGAACAGAAAGGAAGCGATTGGATTTTGCTAGATGGGAAAACGCCACGGAGAGGAAACTGCTGAGCCAGGGCTTTCTCCTTCACCTCCAGCTTCTGCCAGCAGCTTCTCAGCCGCCGGTGACGCTGAGACCCAGACTGAGCCCGTCGCTGCTTGTGCACCGCCCCGCACTCTCGCCCCCTGCAGCAGAAGTGCTGACTCGGCAAACCCAAGCTGCAGGAGGGGCTTGGCTCCTCAGTGCCTGGGGTGACATACGCTCCAGGCAGATGCTGAATAGTTTCCCTGTAAGGGGACTGGGCTGAGCGACAGGGAGACCGCAGACCTGGCTGGCCAGGAGCCGGAGTTTTTATCAGCTGGTCTGTGGAGCGTGGAATGAGTTTGGCAGGCCTCAGCCCAGCTCCCCAGCATAACAGCCATCCTCGGACTCGTTGCAGAGAGGCCAATGGAGTGTTTGCGTGGACCTGTGGCAGAGGGCTGCAGGACAGTGGGCGCATGCCCTGGGATTCCAGGTGCAGGATAACTGGAGACGGGCGGGGTGGTGCCCGTGGTAGGATCAGGTGCCCAGAACGGGGGCTGCATCTCAAGCTGGCAAGTTCGCAGTTTGCCCCCGTTCACTGACTTTGCTGTCTCACTGTGAGCGCCAGGATCTCCCACCTGCAGCTGCTTTCCACTGAGTCACTCCTGTGGCTGGGTTTGGTTTTCAGAGTCACCCACCACGTGCCGGAGGCCCCTGCGTTCAGCTCTGCCAGTGTGCCAGCCCCAGGGCATGCGGGCAGGAGCTTGACTGCCAGCTGGGGGACGGAAGTATCCAGGACTATTAAACCATCAGTTGTTACTGAGAAGTGGCACCTGGAGGCCACCCCTGCTGGCAAGCTGCGTGCCAGCCCTAGACCATTGTGCTGTGCGCTGCACAAACATACAGTCGAATCCGCCCCTGCCCAGAAGAGTTTAAAGTCTATTCAGACAAAAGAAGGAGTTTTAATCTCCATTTTAAAGACAGGAAGCTGAGACCCAGCGAGCCAAAGGGACTTGCCCCTGGTCACGCAGGGGATCTGCAGAAGGACTGGGGTCAGACCTCTGAACTGTGTGCTCTTCTGAGACCCAGACCCACAGCCTCAGCCCAAGACCATCCCGCCTTTGTGCCAGTTAGCTGCTGTTCTACCGAGCCCGCCCTGATGATTCCCATGCTCAGAACTGCATACACCAGCCTTGAGACAGGACTTGTCAGTCCCCAAATACAAATACAGGCCAGTGTCACTGTCCCCACTTTACAGATGGGGAAACTGAGGCACAAATCTTGTCACCCTAACTTGATAGATTTCTTTGAAGAGATTACAAGTTTGGTTGGTACAGGTAATAGTGTAAGGCATTTTGGCTTGGTACTCTAGGATATTTTGATTAAAAACCGAGAGCAATACAAGATCAACACGGCGCCCATAACATGGACTAAAAACTGGCTCACTGATGGGTCTCAGAACGTAACTGAATGGGGACGCATCGTCAGTGTGCTTCTAGCGGAATCCTGTGGGATCAGTTCTGGGATCAGTATTAAACATTTTTATCAACGACCTTGACAAGAACATCAAATCATCACTGATAAAATTTGCAGATGACAAAAAGGTTGGTGAAGAACAAAGCTGACAGGTCTCGGAGACAGAACAGGCTAGTTTGCCTGGTGAGCTGGGCACAACCAGCCAACCTGCAAAGTCACACATGGAGGAACTCAGAGCATGTGCCACCACTACAGGAGGCGATGAAGAAGATGGAGAAACGTTCTCTCTTGCCACACAGGGCAGGAGAAGAGGCAGTAGGTTCAAACGACGGCAGAGCAGATTTAGAGTCTGTCTCACTAAGAACAGTAGGACAGTGGACCAGACCTGCCTCGGGACTTTGTGGAAGCTCCTTCACTGGGGGTTTTGAAAGGAGGCTGGATAACCACCTGGCTTGGACACAGCAAATCCTGCCTCTTGGCAGGGGTTAGACTAGATGGCCCTTGTGGTCCCTTGTAACCCTACAGTTCTTTGGGGTACTCCTGGGGAAGCAGTGCCTCTGAACAGGACTTTGGGGTCATGGTGGATAATCAGTTGAGCTCGCTCTGGGTTACTGTGATCCTTGGACGTAGAAACAGGGGAATCTCAAGTAGGAATAGGGAGGTTCTTTTATCTCTGGATTTGGCTCTGGTGCGACCGCCGCTGGGACTTTGTCCAGTTCTGGTGCTCACAATTCAGGAAGATGTTGATCATCGGGGAGGGTTCAGAGAAGAGCCCTGAGAATGACTAAAGGATTGGAAAACCTGCCTTGTAGTGATAGACTCTCGGCGCTCCAGCTGGTTAGCAAAGAGAAGGGTGAGGGGTGACATGGTAAGTACCTGCATGGGGAGCAGGAATTTGAGAATCGAGGGCTCCTCAATCCAGCAGAGCAAGGTCTAATGAAAGCCAGTGGCTGGGAGTTGAAGCTAGACAAACATAGATGACAAACAAGATGCACTGTTTAGTGAGGCAAATTAACCATTGGAACAATTTGCCTGGGGCCGTGGAGGGGTTCTCAGCCCTGGAAATCTTTATATCAAGTGGGGAGGGGGAGTTCTCCCAGCTCTGTGCTCGTTCCCCAGGAATTAGTTCAGGGACTAGTGCAGTCGCTCAGAAGAGATGACCACAATGGTCCCGGCTGACTAATTTAGGAATAAGTGAAGGGACTTGAGTCATACCCAGGCCAGGACTACCTGCTGTCCTGTGCCCATGCCATAACAAGAATATCCAGAGTAAATGTTTTAAAAGCAGAAGAGCTTGAAAGGAGAATGAACCCTCCTGCTTCAGGGCAGGAGCTGACTTCTAGCCATGGGGGCCAGGAGGGGCCTGTGCCTGGGGCAGATACCCCATCACTGCGGGATTATCATAGAATCATAGAATATCAGGGTTGGAAGGGACCCCAGAAGGTCATCTAGTCCAACCCCCTGCTCGAAGCAGGACCAATTCCCAGTTAAATCATCCCAGCCAGGGCTTTGTCAAGCCTGACCTTAAAAACCTCTAAGGAAGGAGATTCTACCACCTCCCTAGGTAACGCATTCCAGTGTTTCACCACCCTCTTAGTGAAAAAGTTTTTCCTAATATCCAATCTAAACCTCCCCCACTGCAACTTGAGACCATTACTCCTCGTTCTGTCATCTGCTACCATTGAGAACAGTCTAGAGCCATCCTCTTTGGAACCCCCTTTTAGGTAGTTGAAAGCAGCTATCAAATCCCCCCTCATTCTTCTCTTCTGCAGGCTAAACAATCCCAGCTCCCTCAGCCTCTCCTCATAAGTCATGTGTTCCAGACCCCTAATCATTTTTGTTGCTCTTCGCTGGACTCTCTCCAATTTATCCACATCCTTCTTGAAGTGTGGGGCCCAAAACTGGACACAGTACTCCAGATGAGGCCTCACCAATGTCGAATAGAGGGGAACGATCACGTCCCTCGATCTGCTCGCTATGCCCCTACTTATACATCCCAAAATGCCATTGGCCTTCTTGGCAACAAGGGCACACTGCTGACTCATATCCAGCTTCTCGTCCACTGTCACCCCTAGGTCCTTTTCCGCAGAACTGCTGCCTAGCCATTCGGTCCCTAGTCTGTAGCTGTGCATTGGGTTCTTCCGTCCTAAGTGCAGGACCCTGCACTTATCCTTATTGAACCTCATCAGATTTCTTTTGGCCCAATCCTCCAATTTGTCTAGGTCCTTCTGTATCCTATCCCTCCCCTCCAGCATATCTACCACTCCTCCCAGATTCTTGCCCCTTCCTCGGAAGCAGCTGTTAGAGGCAGGATACCAGGCTAGATGGGCCCCTGATCTAATCTGGCAAGTCCTGAGCTGCCTCTGTTGTATCTCTGATTAAAGCAACATTCTGGCTAAGAATTTCAAGACAGTTACAGCCGCCCTGAGCACTTATGACCCAGCCCATGGAGAGAATTAGAGCTGCTTTCACACCACGGGTTGGGGTTTTAAGTTATGTGAGTGTGACATGAAAGCGGGTCAGGTCAGTATGACATGTACGTCAGTTACTGGATATCTGACACACAGGTGCAATACGTGGGAGCCAGCATGAGTCACACAGATAGGAAATTAGATTTCACAGCCAGCGCCTGGGGATCTGGGCTGGGGATCCCTCGCCCTCTCCGAGCCCCAGGCAGGAGCGGGCAGCGCTCAGAGGGCAGGGTTGTTGACAAGGAGTGAAAAGGGTGGGGAGGAGCCAGGCTGGGCCATGCCGATGCTGCTCTGGTGCCCATTGGGCAAGAGGATCTGAGCTGACTTGGGAACTTGGCAGGGGCCCATGGGCTGGCAGCTGCTGGGCGAGGATGCAGATCGCGGCTTTAATGCATGCAACATGGGAGAAGCCAGGCTGCTGGAATGTCTGCTCCAGCCATTGGCCCAAGCAGACCATGGGAGGTCCCCGGGGTCCTGCATCTTGGGGCGGCTACAGCATCTCTTCCTTGCCAGGGCTCTAGAGAGCTGGCAGCCCCGGGAAGCGATGCCCAGCACATGCTGCAGGAGGGAGGGGGAATCTCCGGCCCTGCCCACCCTGGCCTCTCTGCAGAGATGCGGCCAGCAGCTGAGGTGCCATCTCTACCCAGGAGCTCCTCTCCCCTAGGTCCCTGCAGAGCGACGGCTTCCAGCATCTAGGCCCCTGGGCTGGATTGTGACAAGGCTCCCTGGCCCACTCCAAACCCGGAGCCAGCCCAGCTCCATGGCTCTGCTAATTGATGGGCAATTAACTCAGTGAGCCAGCAATACCTCAGGCCAGGCTGCTCTGGGCCAGGAATGCACCTGGCAGCTCAGCTAGCCTGAGAGCCTTGCCTCTGACCTAGCGAAGGGGAGCCCTGGACCTTTTGCAGGCCTCTGCCTCAGCTCCCAGGAGCAAGGCTGGGACCAGCAAGCCAGCCAGCTCGCCCCATCTGCGGAGACCTGGGCACCAGGCTGCTCGGTCACTACGGTGGGGCGTCATGACACATTACAGGGCAACAGTGGCCCCCGGCGGCCGTGCAAAGAGGCAGGTCCTCGAAATGATGGGTTATGGGTGGAGGGCTGGGGCAGAAGCCCACCCCAGTTAGAGCCGCAGGGAGGGAATGGCGGCGACTCTGGTGCCAGTGGTGGGTGCCCGGAGCCGTGTCTCTCTGCTCCTCTCACCTCTCTCTCTCTCCCCGGCAGATACAACAGACTTCCAGGAGAGCTTTGTCACGTCAGGGGTATTCAGCGTCACGGAGCTCATCCAGGTCTCCCGAAGTGAGTACCAGGCTGGCAGCTGGGGGCGCATGTGCGCGGCGGCAGGCAGGAAAGCCGGTGGGGCCCCAGAACTTTCCCTAGTGCTGACAAACACGCCATTGCAGGGTGAGGCAAAGCCAATCACTTCCCCTTCCACCCCCGCAGCCCCTCCAGGGGAGCAGACTGCGTGGAGTTTGGCTCAGGGCTTGGTGAGCAGGTCTGGGCACAGCCTGGCAGCCTCATGCCAATGGCTGTGTTCCTGAGCCCTGTGGGGGGCACCAGTCCTAGTTGGCATAACGGCCAGGGTGAATTTCCCCCCAGGAGTGGGTAGCAAATGCAGCTTTCCCGCGGAGCAGCAGGCCCAGGGGAGCTCTGACCGAGCGGGACGTGCCTGCCCCAGGCTGGGTGTTTGATTAGCCCTCCTGACGCGGGTCTCTCTATGTTGTGATCCACAGCACCAGTGGTGACAGGCACGGGGCCAAATTTCTCTCTGGGTGAGTTGCAGGGTCATCTGGCCTATGATCTGAACCCCTCGAGCACTGGCATGAGAAGGACGCTCCCAAGCACCTCCTCCAGCGGGTACGTACCAGCCTCAGCACGGGCTCTGGGGGCAGCAGGGCCAGGCGAGGGCTGGGCTGGGCCTTTTCTAGGCCTTCTCTGTGCAGCACGGTGTGGGAAGGGCAAGGCAGGTTCAGTCCTGCTTCAGCCAGATGCGGGGCCTGCCGGCATGCCTAGTCACATGCGTGCAAGCACCTTCCTGGGCACACGCGCTCTGCCATGCACGCAGAGACCCGGATGTACAGACATGTACACGCACACGGGGACACGCATGGCGCTCCAGTCACACACACCGACAGAGCCACCCAGGCACGCTTGGAGCCTCATGCACGTCCGTGGACTCCTGCACACACACACCGGGCAGCAGCGTAAACCTCCTCCTGCGCGGCCCCAGCTCTGGGGTAGTTTGGTCCACAGAACAGAAATCCAGGGCAGGTTTTTCCCTTTGCTGGGCTGTAGCCAGAATCCAGTGCGGGCTCCTCTCCTCCTCGCTCCTAGTCCTCTCCCTGCCTGGCACACTGTGTCCTTGGGGAACTCCTGCTGCCCGGGCTCCCAGCCGCTAGCCTGCCAACCTCCTCTGGTGGGGAGGGGGATATGTGTTACTTAACCCCATCGTTGCTGCAGCGCGCCAGCGACCTGCTGCGGTCACAGCCCTGCGGGGAAGAAATCCAACAGCGACATGGTTAACCAACAGGGTTGGCTTGGTGGCTTCCAAGGCCAACTTAGAGCAGCCCTGAGCTTGGCAGCTGTAGCACCCCGGCGGCCTGGGCCTGTCCGTGCTTCCATCTAAGCAGGGCCAAGGCTATGCAGGAGCTGGATGGGAGACTGCTTGAGGAGCAGTGATGGGGGCTTTCACCCCTGAGGCAGGCCTGGCCCGCCTGCTGCTCGGGCACTGTGCTCCTGGGGGCTGTTGCATAGCGACTGAGGCCGGTGGAAACTTAGGAATGAGGAGAAGTATTAGCAGCCGTGTGCGGGCTCCCTGCCTCCTTCGGACGGGACCTTGTGCCTCCCTGTAATCCCCGTCCCTCTGAATATGGTCTCTGCCACTTCCGGTCCTAGACTGCTGTGTGGCTATGAAACAGCTGCTGCGTTCCCCCCAGAGGCAAACGGGGAGGATGACATTATTCGGTGGCTGCGGGTGTGCACCCTGGAAACTAATACGAGAGAACAGGAGCCAGGGAGCTGAGGGAGAAGCAGCCCGCTTAGGTCTCTGGGCAGAATTTGGCTCTCATGGGCTCTGCCAGGTTACTGGAGAGCAGAATTTGGCCCACAGTGTCCATTTCCCCTGCCAGGGAACGTGCTGGCAGAGACCAGGCCCTGTGGATTTCCCACCAGATGAGCTAGGCGAGGGGAGGGGGATCCTGCCGGCCTCACCTCACTGGTTGGCAGAGTGGATGAAGCCTCAGGGAGCCCCTTCCTTTCTCTCGTCTTTGATCGGGGCCAGCGTGGGTCAGCCACGCCCTCGGGCACATGCTTAGAGTTAATTGGCACTCCGGGCATTGCTGGCCGCACTGGGGCCTGTTTCTGGCCTGGCTTGCTTCACAGGCCAGGCCGATGCTAAGAGCCAATTCAGTATCACTGCGTTGCGCAGGGGTGTGAAAAATCCACCCCTGAGCGACGCAGTTCCACCCCTTAGCCCCCTGCAGAAGTGCGTGGGAGGGCTTCTTCCCTTGACACAAGGACCCCTCTTCGGGAGGTGGATTAGCAAGGCCGAGGGGAGCAGCTCTCCTGACGCTGCAGCCATGTGCATGAACACAAGCCCCCAGTCTGGCTCCCAGACCACCCCTTCCTCTTGGAGCCCACTGGGGTCGCATGGGTGTAACTGAGAGGAGTATTGGGCCCAGCAGCTTCATTTCTTCTTGTCACTGACCCCAGGGCTCCCTGCCACCAGCTCCTCCCTGGCAGCAGCCATAATGTGCCACGTCTGTATGGGCTTGGCCCAAGAATCTCCATGTGCATGAAGTCGGTAGCCTCCTCTTCTGCCATGTGCACCCCAGGGGACACTCTGCCCCAGAGTGGAGCATGCCCCTGAGTAATGAGCGCTCCCAGCTGCCCTGCGAGGTGATAAAGTCACATTCCTGCAGCCCTGTCTCGTGTCAGGTGGGCCACTCACTCAAGCAATAGGGCCATAAGACTGGGCTGGCGACTCGCCTGAGGTCAAATAGCCATTCAGTGGCAGAGTCCCTTACTCTAACCACTAGACTACACTTCCCTCCCAGAGCTGGGTACAGAACCCAGGCATCTGGACTCCTAATCCTTGGTGCTAATCATTAGACTGCACAACACAGCGAGGGACAGAGCCCCCGAGCCCTGCCTGCCACCCCTTGGCTCTCAGCAGGAGCCTATGGCAGCGAAAGACCCTGGCGCATCAAACAACTCTCCATGGGTTGATCAATTCTCCTCCCTCCCCTTCCCCAGGAGTAAACGACACAAGTCTGGCTCCATGGAGGACGACATAGACACAAGTCCGGGGGGCGAATACTACACCTCGCCCAGCTCGCCCACGAGCAGCAGCCGCAATTGGACAGAAGACATGGAAGGGGGTAGGTATCCCACCCGGGGCCCTTCCCTTGCATGTTCTCCTGGCTCTGGCGCCAGGTGGGGCGGTGAACCCGGCTTCTCCTTTCTGGGTTTGTCACTTTGGCTTAGGAGCCGGTTCTTGGTTCAGAGGATCCCCCAGGCGATGAGAGACCTAGATTATCATAGAACATCAGGGTTGGAAGGGACCACAGGAGGTCATCTAGTCCAACCCCCTGCTCAAAGCAGGACCAATCCCCAATATTTGCCCCAGAATCCTAAATGGCCCCCTCAAGGATTGAACTCACAACCCTGGGTTTAGCAGGCCAATGCTCAAACCACTGAGCTCTCCCTTCCCCGCCGAGGCAGAGCAGGGAAAGGAGCTGTCCCCTGCATCCTGGGGCATCCCTGCTGCTGATCACTGGCTTCACAGGTGCTGTATGTGGGGGCATGGCCAGGGGGTGAGCCAGCGTGCCATCCTCCCTCTGCCAGAGACCATCAGCCGCAGTCTCACTCTGCCAGGCATGCTGGGCTCACTACCGGAGCTCCTGGCTGGGTCCTTGGCAGCGCTGTAGGAGCCCTCAGTAGGTGCACGCAGATTTCTCTAGGTGTCTCTGATGACTGTGCCGGAAATTTCCATGGGTCCACAGGGTCTCCCCCAGCACAGGGTCTCTGGAGTTGGGGCTGGGATCCCCACAGAGGGTCTGTGTCAATGAATCTTCCAGGGGAGGGCCAGCAGCTCTTCCCGTGAACTGACTTCCCCGCTCAAGAGGCCACCTGGCTCCCCGCCCGGCCCCTGCACTCGCTGTGTCCCTGCCCCTGCTGCCCTGTGCCCCTCTGTGCACTGCCAGGCTGGGGCCCTGCCCCCACCGCTCCCCCTCTCCACAGGTGCCCCATATTACTGAGGAGGGATTTCTTCCTTGTTTGATGTTTTGTCTTCCTGTCTAGACAGCCCCAATTAGCCGTTCATTAAGAGAAGGGGGTGGGGGTTGGCTGAGCTAATTAAAGCAATACAGACCCTTTTTCAGATGGCTGGTTCCTGGGGTCCCATGCAGCGCCAGTTCTCCCTGCAAGGACCGCCGGGGGGAAGGGGGGTTGTACATTATCTTGTATGTATTTCTTTTTATAATCTTGCGATTTCTGTCCCCTCCCCTTTAAATGTAGCCGGCCACCCAGGAAGCAGGCGTGGGGAGGTTCCCCGGGGATCTGCTGGGTTGGGGGGCAGCGGGCACTGGCAGCTAATGGCCCCGTGGGATTCATCCCCCAGCTTCACATGGTTAGGGACGTTTTGAAAGGGGCTCTTTAGCTTTCCTGCCTCTCAGCCGGAGAACCCCAAACTATTCCCCACCCCCAGTCCTTGGGCCTGGCCCCTGGTCCTCCCCCTACACTGTGTGCGTGTGCATCTGTGTGTTTGTGTGTATGCAAAGGTGCGCTGGGGGTGGGTGTTTCAGACTCCCAGATCCTGAGCCCCCTTCCAGAACCTGTGCCGTGCTGGGGGTCCAGGGCCAGAACAGAATCACAGCCTGATCCTTTGTCTGCCCTGCGGGGCGCGGACCCTGTCGTCCGACCGGGAGGCTGTCTGGACTGCAGGTGTCCCCTGAGCCCTGCTGGAAGTGCCATATCGCAAACTGGACACCTGTTCTGGGCTTTGCACCATCGAGCCAGAATCTAATTGTGAGGGACCTGGCCCGGCTGGGGGGCACCTAGGACAGTGTACACAGCCCCTCCTTCTCCAGCGGGGGGGCAGAGAACTCTGAGCTCCAGCAGTTCTGGGCAGCAGAGCACACCGAGAGGCCCGGTGCAGAATCTGTCCCAGAGCAGAATCTAGTCCATTTTCCTCCCTGGATTTCCTCCTGATTTACACCAGCCTGAGAACCAAGGGCAAGGTATCGGTGCTGGGGACACAGGACTCCTGGGTTCTAGTCCCAGCACTGACTCAGCACTTTGGGCTGGCCCGTCTGTTCTCTGTGCCTCGGTTTCCCCACCTTGGGGAGAATGGCGCTGACCCCAAGTGGGGAGGCGTCTTGGTGGTGTTCTGAGTTAGCAGCTGCAAAGCACTTTACCCTGGGATTGGAAAATCCCAGAGCCGGCTGAGCTTTTTGGTCAAAGCTGGTTTTGGATGTAAAAGGGCCTTTTTCTTTTCCAAAATGAAAATTTTCCACACAAAACCCCCTTTTCTTTAGAAATTTGGGGGAGTTTTTTTTAATGAAAAACAAAAAACAAGGCAGGTTATTATGTAAACCCTGCACCCCCACCCTGCATTTTTGCTGTCTGAGTTTTTCCTGGGAAATGCCCTTTTCCAGCTGGCTCTATTGATGATGATGAATGTGAGCATTGCTTTAAAGATCCCGAGGACAGGTTATGCAATCTTCCTCTGTTCAGGCTCCTGAGTTTTGCTGGCCCCTTCGATATTTGCTAGAGGGAGTAGCCCCTAGCAGCCTCCTCCCGGCCCAGGTCCCTGGCCTGCTAGGTGTTGAAGAAACACCGAACAAAGAGAAGCTTTCTACGTCACAGACAGATCGTGTTGTGTGCGCTGTCTGGGTCTGGACTGTACTGGGAGCCGGGTTGCCCCAGGTGTGGTGGAATAGCCCTGGGGTTGCTCTGCCTTACCTAGCTGTCTACAGACTGCCGGGCAGCCAGAGTAGCCAGTCACTGTCAAGACATTGTAGGCATAGTGGCAAGGAGGAGTGCTCACCCAGAGCCAGGAACAGAACCCAGGAGTCCTGGTTCCCAAACGCCCTGCTCCAACCCTTGGCCCTCCTGGGCTGCAGCTTTCTTTTTTTTCCCCTCGACTCACTAGCTCCGCCAGCTGTTGGAGTTCAGGGAGAACCTCAGCTCTGGGTGCGAGTGCATGAGTCCCTCTCTCGCTGTGCCCCCCAAGCCTGGCCGGGGAGGGGAGGGTGTAAGCCATCTGAGAAGGGATGTGCTTAGCCGGTGCCTCGCAGGGGGGTTTATTTCAATCCTGAACTGGATGTTCTGTGAAATCCTCCTAAATGAACGTCTGAGAACGGGCTAAACCCATTAAGGCCGGCTGGGCCGAATGGCTGGAGATAAATCCTCCATGGCACTATGGCAGCAGGATTAACTCCCTCTCAGAGTTCCCCACTTCAGGCCGGGGGGAGCCCCGGGTACCCGGATGGGGAAGGGCAGACGAGCCACATGCCCTCTCCAGGGGATGCCCAGTGTCGTGCGCAGCCACAGGGCTCTGCCCTGGTGGGAGAGTTCTGCCAATGCCCATGGGCTGAGGGGGCTGCAGGGGAAGCTGTGGCCTGGGGGGGAAGCAGAGGCCGGGTTGAATGCAGGGCACAGCAGAGAGGAGGGCCTGGGGTGAATTGGGGAGGGGCGGAAGGGGAAGGGCGGAGCAGTGGGAGACGGGGTCAAGGGGCATGGAGAGGGATTGCAGTGGGCAAGTGGCGGTGCTGGGTCAGAGGAAGCAGCTGCCCAGGATGGGGGCTGCCCTGTACAGCCCAGGGGAGAGCAGAGAATCAGGCACTCCAGCCGGAGACACCATCCTTCCCCAGCAGCAAGGGGAGCCATCCCCAGCCAGCCGCACACCGCCTCTGGGCCTGCCAGCTGGAATCACTTGCAGGTGTGGGGGGAGCCAGTTCCTCCAACTCCTCTCCCCAAATCCCCTGGGGCGCAGCTGTCCATGTCCTGTGCCCGGAGAGGCCTGGGCACCAGGGAGCACGGGGGAAGACAGTCAGTCCTGTGGGCAGCCAGGGGTCAGAATAGAGCAGGGTGGAGCAGGTGCAGTGCACGCTGGAGGACACTAGGGAGAGCTGGTGAACACTGGGGGGCAGCTGTTCCATTTCGACAAGTGCAGCTGGCTCCTGGGTGAAAGGCAGTGAGGCAAGCTGGGGGCAGAGACCACCAGCCTGGAGACCTGGGCCCTATCACCTCTAGGACCGAGTCTGCCAGCCTTCGATCAGCGGAAGGATAAAACTGCAGTGTTTGGCCCTCTGAAAGCGAGGATGAGCCAGCGGGACTGTGGTGCCCAGCCCTGGAGAACCCAGGCGTCCGGGCCTGTTTTAAAAACCGACCTGAATTTCTGGCTAAAGCTCCTGCTGAGCCCAAGCCTTCCACATGGGTCAAAGCCCTTCACCCAGGGCTTCCCCTTGTCACCTACCTTAGCTAGGCCCCCTACGCTGGCATGGGCACTGTTCTCACAGCACACGCAGCCCAATGGGAGGCGGGATATGCTGGGCCTGTTCTCAGCAGATCCAGCCCGTGCTGGAGGCCAGCGATAGGCGCTGCTGGGAGGAGATTCCTGCCCTGCATTCCCAGACCGAAGCAACAAAGATCTTGACCCCCATTTCTGTGCTGGCAATGGGGGTTGGCCCCTGGCGATTAGAGCCAAGAGGCCAGTGGTGCAGACAAGGAGAGCTCTTTGCAAGTTGGTGTGGATCAGAGGCTGGGTTGGGAGCCCCTCCCCGTGGAGGTTCGGTTCCAGCCCTTCTCCGGTATAACTGTAAGCCAGCAACTCCTGGGGGTTCGGTGCCATTGGGGAGCGACGGCAGCTGTGTCATTGCATGCCTCCTAGTGCAAGTGCAAGGTCAGACTGGGCAGTGCCACGCCCGAATCAGCTCGGGAGATAGCAAGCAAAGGGGGCTTTACACCACCTTTGAACCTCCCAAATTCTGGGCTGCGATGGGGGCGGGACTGCCCCGGTGTGTTAGAATAGCCCTGGGGCTGCTCTGCCTTACTGCAGCCATACTGGCCCTGCATGGACCCCTGTGCAGCCCCGAATAGCCAGCCCACACAGCACTCCAGCCACTCCTCCTCCTGTCCCCCATACACCTGTCCTCACAGGTCTGTGGGGGTGGGGGGCCTACACTGGCCTTGGGGAGACGATCTCATCGCAGGGACATTTCCCCTGCTCAGCAACCCTTCCCCCCCATGGTGTTTATGCCTTTTGGCTCCTTGTGCTCAGGGCTCGAATCCCCCAGCTCAGCACTCTGCAAAGCTCAACATATTTTTAGCTCTCCTAATCTTTCCTCATAAATCAACAGCCAACTATCCCGGCTGGGGCCCATAACGGGGCAGGGCTGGGGCGGGGGTCTCCTGCCTCCAGGAATGCCAGTGACTCAGCACCACAAGCTGAGCAGAGCAGATCTAGATCCAGAGGGTTTCCTTTACTTTGGGTGACGCCCAGTGGCAGAGGGAAAAAGAGCGTCTCCGTCCCGTTGCTTCGACAGGGCTGATAAAGCGGGGCTTGGCTGGTTCCCATTCTCCTCGACACAGGCACCTCTGCCCTGACAGATCCCCCAGTGGGGAAAGCAAAGGCCCGGCAGGGTGGTCGGCCACGCTGGGGGCACAGTGCCCACGTCGCACAGAGAATGAGGGAGGTGCTTACATGGCTCAGGATTTAATGGGTGCCAAATGGCCTGTCGCCGCAGGGCTGCCTTCTCAACTCAGTCACCAGCGTAGAACACCACAGCCATCAGATCCACCTCAATTTATCCAGCCTGGGCCTGTCTGGCCTGGTCCCCACCTGCCCTGGGCCTGTACAGCCCTGCTCCAGCGTGTCCTGGGCCTGTACAGCCCTGCCCCCGCCTGCCCTGGGCCCAACCCCCTCCGTATGGCCCTGACCCCGCCTGCCTTGGGCCTGTATGGCCTGCCCCCCATGTCCAGCTCCTAGGCAGAAGGGCCACAGAGACTCTGTGCACTGCCCCTACCCGCAGGTGCCACCCCACAGCTCCCATTGGCTGCTGTTTCTGGCCAATAGGAGCTGCGGAGCTGGTGCTCAGGGCAGGGGCAGCATGCAGAGCCCCCGTGGCAACCCTTAGACCTAGGAGACGGACATGCTGGCCACTTCCGGGAGTCATGCAGAGCCAGGACAGGGAGGGAGCCTGCCTTAGCCCCACTGCATCGCCAACCAGACTTTTAGCTGCCCGGTCAGTAGTGCTGACCGGAGCCGCCAGGGTCCCTTTTCAACTGGGCGTTCCAGTCGAAACGCGGACACTTGGCAACCCTACCCCCACTGCCCCGAGGCTGTACAGCCCAGCTCCAGCGTGTCCTGGGCCTGTACGGCCCTGCCCTGGGCCTGTCTGGCCCTGCCCTCACCTGCCCTGGGCCTGTACAGCCCTGCTCCCGCCTGCCCTGGGCCTGTACGGCCCGGCCCCCACCTGCCCTGGGCCTGTACGGCCCTCCCCTCCCCACCCTGGGCCTGGATCCCCCTGCCTTGGGTATTTCCCTGCCGCTGCCTGGCCTGGGCCTCTATTTGCTCTATTCCTGGCTGCGTAACTACGGCCCCAGCCTTCCTGTGGGCAGAGCGCTGGTGCTGTGGGACAGTGTGCCCTGCAGAGCCGGCGGTTCCCCCGGGAGCCTGGGCCCTGCGTGGCTGGACGGGACGGGACGGGACGGGACGGGGGGGAGGAACATGCCAACCCCAAGGGCTCTGCTCAGCAGGGTGCAGGAGACGCGGCTCGGGCGGCAGGTGGTGGGTTTCGGTCCTGGAGAGGCCAGGACGAGGTTCGGGTGGGTGGCCTTGCGCAGAGCTCGCCTGCTATGTGCCCTCCCCCCAGCTTCCCAGGTCAGGGCCCGCTGGGCCATTCGCCCTGAGGGCGGGAGAAGCGGGTCGGAAACACGGAACTGGAGCCATGGGCAGTGGGGTGAGGCTGCCCAATGGGGAGGAGGGAGACACCTGCACACCTGGGGATGCATACTCCTGCCAGCACATGTATGCCAACGTGTACACACGCACATGCACACACACGTGCAAACACGCCTACCCTTGTGTCTACACACACACACTCACACACGTGCCTGCCCATGTGTAAACACACACACACAGCCATGCGCGCACGCCGCTGCATACCAGTGTGTCCACTCACGTACATGTGAATACCCACGCACATACGCATACCGACCCTGCTGCACACCCATGTGTACAAATGCACAACTGTGCACTCGCACACACATTTGCACACATCACCATTTGCACACACACACACGCTTGGCAGTCAGCTTGTCGCTTCGACCCCCTGCGAGCCAAGCAGTTGAGCCAGGGAACGTGACCCACTTCATAAGCTCCTGCCCATCCCTCTGTCGCTACCTAATTAACCAGAGCAAATTAGTGGCTGTGACAGGGCCTCAGGAGCATCTCTGGGTGCTGCGCCCCCTGCTGGCTCTGCACAGCAATAAGCCAGCCATGCCCCTGGAGTTCTTTCCGCTGCGTCTTGGCCAGTGACGCCCAGCCCAGTCCAGCCCAGCCCAGCCCAGCCCAGCCCAACCCAGCCCCCTTTCCTGGTTAACGCCGGGCACGCCAGAGCCCTTCCTTGCTCCCACAGCGCCCCATAGGCGCCGAGCTGCACTGCATGCAAACCCTCGCCTAGGGACACCAAGGGTAGCCCCTGCCCCAGGGTCTGGGAATAGGGGACGGGATGGATAACTGGATGATTCCCTGTTCTGTTCCTTCCCTCTCGGGCACCTGGCACTGGCCACTGTCGGAAGACAGGATACTGGGCTGGATGGACCTTTGGTCTGACCCAGTGTGGCCGTTCTGATGTTTGCTCCCCCGGGTTCTAGGCTCAGTCGCTGGAGGGAGCCCCCCTCTCACTCTCCCCAGTCACAGTGGTGATTTCACTGGGCTGTCAGTGCCTTGGGCCAGGGCCAGAGTGAATCCATTCATTGGCCATCTCTTCTGGCCTCCGGCCTCTGAGCCTAGCGCTCCAGGGGATGGTATGCCTGGTGGGAGGGGGAACCCTTCCTGACCCTGGGGATCAGATTCTGCCCTGACGCCTGACACTGAATGGTGCTTCTGATGGGCTCCGCTGTGGATTTCATTTATGGGCCTTTTAAATGCTGCCCCTGGGCACCATCGTGGGCCCGAGCAGCGGGGGGCTGACCCTTAATGGCGCCGTTTCTGCTTTTCCCACCGCTCACTAGGCATCTCCCCCGTGAAAAAGACGGAGATCGACAAATCGCCCTTCAACAGCCCATCGCCCCAGGACTCCTCTCCAAGGCTGAGCTTCACGCAGCATCACCGTCCGGTCATTGCCGTGCACAGCGGTGAGTCTGGGTCTCCGGGGGCAGCAGGGCAGGGCGGTTCCTTTGTCATTCACTGCCCGGGAAGGGAGGCTGGGCGGGGGGCTCAGGCGGGGGCTGCACTAATGCATGTGTGGCTGGTATCATTTCTGCTGCGCCCTCAGCCTGCCAGGCCCCCTGCAGGCAAAGGGCTGGCTCTGAAGAATTTGCAAGGGAGAGCCACCAGCTACAGTCTGCAGGGTCTGCGTGACCGGGGTTGGGGGCAGAAAGAACCCAGCTTGGTTTTTAGCCCAGCATCCCTTGGGCTTGTGGGCTGGGCCCTGTGTGATTGGGGGTGGGGAGGGACAGGGGGTTTAAACAGGGTGGTTTCTCAGAGCGGGACTGGTTTGCGAATGGCAATGGTTAGTTAGCACCGTTCGTCTGCCAAATGCTTCACCAGCGTCAGCGGATTCTTCCACGCACCTTCCCCCCGGCCCCAGAGGCAGGTAAGGATCGGGGTCCCCGTCCGAAGATGGGGAAAACTGAGGCACAGTGCGAGGTTCAGTGACTTGCCCAAGGCCATAGAGGGGCCTCGGGGACAGAGGCAGGATGAGGGCTCGGGAATCCCTGGCTCCCGGGTCCCACTGCCCCACCGCGATGCCCCGAGCACGGTGCGATACAAAGTCGTAGGTATAAGGCAGCTGGGCTGTGTGGGGCTGCCACACACCCCACCATTAAGGGGGCACCGGAACCAGAGCGGAGTGCCTGCGGGGCAGGAGGGGGTGCTAGGGCGCTGCCTGGCCCGGGGCTCCGAATGAAGGCCACCCCGGTCCTCTCTTTGTCTCTCCCCGGCTCTAGGTATCGCTCGAAGCCCACACCCTTCATCTACTCTGCATTTCCCCACCACCTCGATCCTCCCCCAGGCGGCCTCCACCTACTTCCCCCACACGGCCATACGGTACCCGCCTCATCTCAATCCGCAGGACCCTCTGAAAGATCTCGTCTCACTGGCCTGCGACCCGTCCAATCAGCAGCCTGGACCGGTAAGGAGCTGCCTAGGCAGCCCCCCCACCGCTCCCCCACCCTGGGGCCTGTGTGGGGGAGAGTCCCACAGGGCCGATGCAACCTGGCTCCTGCCAGACTGGCCCGGCACATCCCGCAGCATCAGAGACCTGTGAGCTGGGGACGGCTTGCCCCAGTTCTCCATGCTGTCGCCAGCCTGAGGCACCCAAGCTTGGAGACTGCACCGAGCGGCACCGTAGGAGCTAGATGAGATAGACGGGGTTTCTCTGGGTTCCGTCAGGGTGAAATTCCCCCCCCCCCCCGCACACACACACCTGTGCACCGCTCACAGACAGCCTGTGGGCTTGGCTGGGGCGCAGGCCTGTGGCGGGTCCCTCCACAGCAGAGAAACGCTGACACTTTGCCCCGAAGAACATTCCATCCCGGGTGCAGCCCATTTGCAGGTAGGAGCAGTGCTTTTCCACTCCCCCGGGTCGTTTTCCTGTCCCTGAGGCGTTCGCTGGGAGCAGGGGGGTTTCATTCTCTGGCCCAGGACAAACCCCTGAGAACATGGTTTGATTATTATTTTTAAATACCAATTAGTATCTTTTCCTCTTTCATTTGACTGCAAAGCAGGCCAGGGAAGGGGTGTTGCTGGACTGGGGCCAGCCCCTGGTGCATGGGAAAGCCCCCTGCCACCACACCCTGCCAGGACTGAGAACTAGGAAGTGAAACTGACAATAAACAGAAAGTGAAACTGAGCCAATGCAGCCAGGCTGGGGCAGAAAGGAAATTAGCTCAGTCTGTAAGGCTGGCAGGTGCTAGGACACAGCACCAGGGGAAGGATGGAGGGGGGGACCGACCATTTCTCTCTTTAGAGCGTCCTTTGAAGTATAACAAATGATTTTCAAAAGCTAAGGCCCAAGTCCATTGCGAGAGTAGAGGGGTTTCCTGCCCCACAGACCCATGAACTGTCTGTCCCGCAGCACGTGTGCGGATGACAACCCCCCCACACACACACTTTACCTGTGCTGCCAAGTATCTTTCGACCCCCCCCCAACTCATTCTGTGCCAGGCACCCATGGTGCATGGGGATGTGCTGTTTCCCTTGCCCCAGGCCCTGTTAGTGCTGCCTGGTCCCTGAGGGGGCGGGGGGACTGTCTTCTCTCTGTGTCGCCTTCTGCTATGAAACCTCTTCCTTAGCTTCTGCTCTGGCCCCCTCCGGCCCCCCTGCAGCACCCTGGACAGTTCCAGCAGCGCAGGAGCAGGTCAGGACTCATCCACCTGCTGCTGAGACAGCCTGGACCCCCCCAGCCAGGACTAGAACCCCGTCCTGCCACTCCCACGCCGAGGGAGCGCTTGCCAAGCTGGCAGTGGTAGTAGGTCCTGTATCCTCTCTCCCACATACATGCCCCTGCCTCTCTCCAGACTCGCTCCCAGCACTGACTCCTGGCTGTCCCTTCCTCCCTGCCAGCAGCTGGCCCTTCACCCAGGAGAGCCATTCTGCTGGGCACAGTTCAGGCTCTGCTCCTCATCCCAGCACATCACTCCGTTGGGTTTTCCTGGCGGATCCCCCCTCCCCAGTCCCTGGCTGGCTGCGGGTTAATTTCACCCACCCTCCCCCAGGGAAAGGGGGCTACAGGCAGACTCTGTCCTCTGCAGCCCTCCAGCTGACTAGCCTGCTTTGGGAGCTGGGATTTCACAGCCCCTGCACAGGCAGCCTCCGGTCCAGGAGGCCAGCGGCCAGAGTGAGGGGCACAGGCAGAATCCTGCCCTCGCCCCAGAGTCCTGCATGGCAGCTTCTCCCGCTGGTGGCTGGGCACTGGTGCAGCAGCTGCGGGGACGTGACCCCCATGCTCAGGTCCGGCTGGAGAGGCAGAGCCCCCACCGGGCAGGTCTAGGAGACCACACAGGAGCCTTTGAAAGCCGCAGAGCGGGTGGCGGGGAAGGAGGCAGATCCACAGCCTTTGAAGCCTTCAGCTGGGCCCCTGCATCCTGGCCCAGGCCCCCCAGCCCCAGGGTTTTGATGTAGCAGCGACTGCTTCCCAGCTGGCTCTGGGCCATCTCAGCTGGGCGTCCTTCCCCACAGGGGGCTAGTTCAAAGGGCTACCTGCCATGGGGCTGACACGGAGGGGTGCCGCCTGGCGAGCCTTGGCCTCAGAATTCACTCGCTTCCGCTTCCCCCTCCGGATTCAGAGGGCAATTTGGTCAATGTTAGGGAGTCTAAACTGGGACCCCCAGGCTCTGCCCATGCCCCTCAGTCCCGACCCGCAGCCCCCTGCTATTCCAGTGCTGCCTCTCCACCCACAACTCTGCTGATGCCCCTCAATCCCAACCCCCAGCTCCCTGAAACCCCTTTCCTGTGTTGCTGGCAGAGCTGCACCAATGCCCCTCTGTCCTGGCCACCTGTCCCTGCCGTTCATGTCACAAGCCCAGCTGGCCGATTACGCAGTGGCTGATCTGGGACCCCCAAACTCAGGTAGCTGCCCCCAAAGCCGGGGCGGGTGCGTCTCATGGGACTCGCTCGCAGTCAGCGGATCCCCGGCTCCCCCCTCGCCGGCCAGGGCCTCTCGTCGTGCACTGAGAGCAGGCACAGTGGGAGGCGGGCACAGGCCTGTGCAGGGCTGGTACCAGAACCTGGGGTTCCCCAGGCTGCCTCCAAGCAGGGCCCTGGCTTTGCATCTGCTCTTTCTCATCAGCTGCCCCAGCTGGTGCCTGAAGCCCCTCCCTCGCCCCTGTCCCCGAGGCCTCTGTCTGGACCAGACCCCTAGGGTGCCCACTGCTAAGGGCAGGGGGGGGTTGCATCTCCCCATCTCCGCCCGGCTGCTGCCGCGGCCCCCCGCCATCGTCCCAATGGCACCTCCGGCGACGCGCCCGGGAGGGCCGGCTGCGCGGGCCGGGCGCGGGCCTGTGCGGCTCTTGCTTCCTAATGGCTTGTTGTTTGTTTTTGTCTGTGTTGTGTCCCCAGTTAAATGGCAGTGGTCAAGTGAAAGTGCCCAGTCACTACATTTCCACCCAGATGCTGGCGCCACCACCTCCCCCTGGCATCCCCCGGTTGGCTCTCTCTCCTGACACCAAATCCACCACGACAACTTCCGAGGGCGGGACAACCTCACCGACATCACCCAGTAAGCAGCCCGCGGCATTGCCCGGCATCGCGAGGGGCCAGCCTGGCCCCGGTGCCATCCACTGAGTCCCGCCCCCGCCATGCCTCCTCTTGCCTCCCTCCCTCCAGCTCTGCATCCATCCCATCACACCCGGCAGTCACGCTGGGGCTGGGGAGCAATGGGTGTTGTCTGCAGCCTCATGCCCGGAGCAAGGGGCTCAGGGGACTGGGCGTGGAGTTGTTTGGGAGCCAGGGACCCCCTACCCTTTAGAGAGCAAAATCAGTCAGTGTCTGACAGCCTGCATGGAATGAGTTTGCTGGGTCTCAGTTGGCTTCTTAGTGGGCAGGTCTTCAAGTCGCATCCCCTGCTTGGCCCCTCAGGGCATTCTCAGGGCACTGAATGGGCCACGGACACTGAGCTTCCCTCTCTTGTACCCAAGGCCTGCTTCACAGCCCGAGGGAGGGTCCGGTGTTCCAGCAGGGAGCTGGCCTTGTGCTTCCCAGGACATGGGTCTCTGCCGCTGGCCACTTTCACGTGCCTGGGGAGGCAGGTCTGAGCTGGCGCTGCTGGGAACGTTCACCGTGTGCTGCTTCTCCGCTCTGCCTGGCAAACCCGCCTCCTTCCCTGGCCTCTCCACGGTGCATGTGGCCAGGTCTGTTTCACACCAAACGTTCTAGGGATTTCCAACCCAGGATGGGCGGGGCGGCCGGACTCCTGGGTTCTGTTCCTAGCTCAGCCCCACGCTTCCTGGCAATCCTTGGGCAAGTCACTTCATCGCTCTGTGCCTCAGTTTCCCCATCTGGCAAATAGCTGTGGGGGTGGAGCTAATGCCTGTCCCATGGGCTGGCTGGGGGTTCCATTGGCTAACGGTCATGGTGCATTGAGCTCCTCAGATGGAAGGCATTAGGGAAGGACAATGTAGGACTGATGGTTGGAGGATTAAATCCATGCATCCATTGGCATGCATGGTGCCCTGAACTGCAGGGGCATTCTCCCAATCACTGCGTATGCAAAACTAAACAGCAACGGTGGAAAGCTGCAAATGCAGTGGAAACTTCAAAGAAAGAGAGTCCATGATGAGTCTAACGAGCCAGAGGCCATGCCCTCGTTAGCGATGGCAGTCAGTGGCTAATTCACCTATCAGCTTCCAGCCCATGAGGATTTGTAAGGCACTTTGTGCACTGAACATGTCTATGGGTCCAACCAGAGCCCCATAAAATTGGGGCCCAGCCCCCTACAGCCTGTGAGCATCAGAGCTGGAGCATTCTTGGGGCAGGCTGTTTGGAGCAGCAGCTGGTCCCTGTCACCCGGCATTCACCCAGCATGGGCAGCTGGGAGGGGCAGTGTTTTGCCCTGGAGTTCAGGGCAGGCTGGGGTCTCAGACAGGATCCCTGCCCCCCAACCTGATGTCACATCCAGTCCATCCCCTCCTGCCCCGCTCCGTCCTGCCTGTTTTAAATATCCCAAGCCATGCGCCTTGCCGCTCTTCACCTCATTCCCCAGCTGGAGCTGTCTACCCCTTCCAAATGGTGGAGCTGGGCCATCCCATGGGCTTGGCACAGTGGGGCGTCAGGGCACAGCATCAGCATGTCAGAGTGTGCCCCATGGCAGAGGCCTAGCTCCCAGGGCACCAACTTGGTCCTGCAAGATGGTCTCAGCTCACGTTGCCATCACATGTCATTGCCTAGCACCGCCCAGTGCATTGGCTCAATCCTGGCTCCTCAGCCGGGCCCCCGCAGAGCATGATCTGCCACACACACACCCCCAGGCCACGTGCCCCCTGGAAGCCCAGCTGCCAGCCACATCCCGGTGAGACGGAAGCGGCACCCAGTGCTGCATGGAGCCTGATTGCCCTGCGCATCCCCCGGACCCCTAGCTTGAAAGGCTGGCTGTGAGTAAACGGTTCCCCCGCCAGCAAACCATAATCGCCGACTGGAAACCCAGAGCTCGCTGATGGGTGCGAACGAGGAAAGACTCGTCAGTTATGGATGGGGCAACTTGGCAGAGGCAGGAGGGAGCCGCCTTCCAGCTAGAGTGGAGGAGGCATGTTTGGAACGAGCTGGCGCCGGGAGGGGCTGCCTTGAATATTTTGTCGGCATTGATGAATGATGAATTTTTCATCCACTCCCTCCAGTCTGGGAAATAACCGTCCAGAGCCGCGGGACATGGAGCCCCCACAAGCCAAGGGGAAAGGTCCCAGCATCCCTGGGGGCTGGGGAGCAATGGGAGAGCTGGTGGCTCTGCCAATCCATCCGCAGCCTGCGCAGTGTGTCCGTGGTGCTCCCTGGGATGGCGAGATGGCAGGGCTCAACGCCCCCCGTTGAGCCCCCGACCTCTGGATCGGTAGCACTACGGGCTCCTAAAGCTCTCTACACAGCTCAGCCACTGGAGGGGGCCAGTGAGCCACCCCCGACAGCATGGGGCACAGACCCAACGGGTCTGTGTGGAGGCTTCGGGACACACCCCGGGGAGTCTCCCCAGGTGCCTAGGGTAGCTGCTCTCAACGCATCTGACGCCTGCTCCCTTTCGCCCCACCCATGGCCAGGCCCAGTAGCACCGGGAGGCACCTCCTAGCCCAGCTTGTATTAACCCTCCCGCTGGGGCTGGGCCACCCCTGGCTTGGCCGAGTTGGCAGCTGGGCCATGTCAGAGCAGTTCCATGCACAGCTCCAAGCAGAGACTCAGCCTTCCCCGAGGCTCTGAGAACTACAGCTCCCAGCATACTGTGCTGCAACAAGCTCCGCCCCCTCATCTGAGGGCAGTGATTAAAATGCAGGGGGGTTAGTGGAGGACACGTTACCTAGTGGGTAGAGCAGGGGCTTGGGAGCCAGGCCTTCTGAGGACCAGTCCTAGCTCTGCCACTGATTTGCTATGTGGCCTTGGGCAAGCTGCTTCACCTCTGGGTTTCCCCACCATTGGCGAAGGGCTGCGGATCACGCTGTGCCTTGGAGCACGGGGTTTTGGGAAGCTCTCAGATCCTAGCATGGGAAGCGCTGAGTGCTGTGTGTGTGATCCTGCTCTCTGGGGGTTGGGACTAGAACCATGTGTCTTAGTCCCTGTACTGCTGGTATCACCCTGCTGCTGCCCAGGCTGTGTGTAAACAGGATTCTAGATTCGGGGGGTCTCAACCCGGCACCTTTCGCCATCACTAACCATTCAGAGCAAGTGTATTTGAGAAGCACCCACGGGACATGGATGCAGTCCATTCCCCAGGCCCTGCCTCCCAGCCCGCCATCAGTATCAACACAGAGGAAGCGAAACCCTTTGGGGAAGCTAGACAGAGCGACCTCATTGTATAAGTAGGGGCATAGCGAGCAGATCGAGGGACGTGATCGTCCCCCTCTATTCGACATTGGTGAGGCCTCATCTGGAGTACTGTGTCCAGTTTTGGGCCCCACACTACAAGAAGGATGTGGATAAATTGGAAAGAGTCCAGCGAAGGGCAACAAAAATGATTAGGGGTCTGGAACACATGACTTATGAGGAGAGGCTGAGGGAACTGGGATTGTTTAGTCTGCAGAAGAGAAGAATGAGGGGGGATTTGATAGCTGCTTTCAACTACCTGAGAGGTGGTTCGAGAGAGGATGGTTCTAGACTATTCTCAGTGGTGGAAGAGGACAGGACAAGGAGTAATGGTCTCAAGTTGCAGTGGGGGAGGTTTAGGTTGGATATTAGGAAAAACTTTTTCACTAGGAGGGTGGTGAAACACTGGAATGCGTTGCCTAGGGAGGTGGTGGAATCTCCTTCCTTAGAAGTTTTTAAGGTCAGGCTTGACAAAGCCCTGGCTGGGATGATTTAGTTGGGGATTGGTCCTGCTTTGAGCAGGGGGTTGGACTAGATGACCTCCTGAGGTCCCTTCCAACCCTGATATTCTATGATTCTATGGGGCTCCCAGGCCAAGCCTAGCCGATGGAGCCCAGGCCTGTGCCAGGGAAGCCTGGTTCTAATCCCAGCTGTGTCCTGGGGTGGCCTCGGCCATGTCCCTTCGCCTCCCTTCCCAGGGGCGCGCGGCCGCTGGTGCTGGGCCGCGGTGACTGATCAGCGCATCAGAGGCGCTTGCCGTTTGGCAGGCTAATGAGCTCTCGTTTCTGTCCCCAGCCTACTCTGCACCCGGCACGCCCCCTGCGAATCGCTCCTTCGTGGGATTAGGACCAAGGGATCCGGGGAGTATGTACCAGGCACAGGTAAGAGCTGCGTGCACCGGGGGCCTCCGTGTGCCACAGCCCCGCAGGGAGGGAGCGCTGGCCTCCCACAACAGGGCCTCTTTGTGGCAGGGACCCTGCCTTCCAGCCACAACCAGGACTTGGCTGGGAAACAGCCAGCCCCGTGGCCAGGCCAGGTGGCAGCATCCTGGTGGCTCAGCCTCGCTGGCAACTGTCTTGCTTTCTCCGGTGATCTGGTTCCCTGTGGTCCCAGGTGGGATTAGGCCGGCCTGTGGGCCTGTGAGCAGCAAGGCCCTGGGGGAGGAGCACGGCCAGGCAGCCTGTCTAGAGAGAGCGGGCGGCGTCCTGCCGAGCCGGCGTCGCGCAGCCTCCCCTGCCGTCCGTCGCAGCCCTAGGGCTCACCAGTGCCGGGCCCAGCTCCCCAGGGCAAAGCGAGAGCAGAATGCCCCCCAGGCAGAGCGGAGGGGGTGACGGCCCAGCATGGCCAGGGCTCAGGGCCGGATTCAGTCACTCAGGACAGGCCCGGCAGAAGGGGCTGGCTAATGTGGCTTTAAGCCTCTGCTCTTTCCACACGCGAGGCCATGTGGGCAGCAGAGAAGAGCGGCCGCGCGGTGCTCCCCGGCCAGGCCCCCTCCGCCGGACGCCCGCAGCGGCATGGGTGCCGTGCCCTTCCTCCAGTTCTGTGCCAGCCGGGGAGGAAGCTCAGGGGGCCATTGGTACCTACTTTAAGGGCCCTCAAAGCCAGAGGCAGTGCAAAGGGGCCTGTGTGTGCCTGGGAATTGGGCTCTCCCTGGGCGGTGGGCGGCCTGTGTTCCAGCGTAAGCCCAGCCGAGGTTTGTCACAGGCCACGACGCCTGTGTCAGACCCAGGTACAGCAGCGCACTGGCTCGCCTCGCCGGCTTCGTCTCAGTGCATTCTGGGAGAATCCGGGCCGCTGGCCCATCGTGCCTCAGCAGGGGGTGAAGTGCCCAGGGACACGGGTGCAGAGTGGCACCAGCATGGCAATGCATCCCGGGATTGCTGGTGCACAGGGAACAGGGAGCAGGGCGGAGCCGCCAAACCGGTTCCACGGAGACGCCCAGGAGCCAGCCTGGGCCACTGGCCGAGCGACCCGTGCTGGGCTGCCGTGGGGACGAGCCCTGCATCAGCCTCGTGTGTGTGCGGGCCCAGCCCGTGACTACAGGTACCATTGGAGATGTGTGAGGGGGGCCCGAGCCCTCGTGTGCCAGGTGCTTGCCCTGCCTAGTTCCACATGGTCAATTGCTAAAGCAGGGACCGGAGCCTGGGGGAGAGAAGCAGGGTCCCGCTCCTGCCAGTCACTGCGAATGCCGGGCAACAAGACACTGCCTTAGAGACAAATCCCACCCAACTGCTTGCAGGGCGGAGGAAGGCCGGGCGCGGAGTGGGCTGACGGATTAGCACTGTTTTCGAGGCTGGCTCACTGGGGGGCGGGCAATCACAGACTTTGACCACTAAGTCTCTGGTTCAAGCCCAGCCAGGGGATGGTCTGGAGTGGCTGCTGTGCAGCGGGTCTGGGGAGCCCGGTTGCTCCCCTCACACCGCCGCTGAGGGGTCTCTGAAGGGGGCTCCAAGGTTGCGTGGGTCAATCTGGGCCCCTGCTGCTGCCCGAGCTGGGGAGAAAGGGCCCAATGCGAAGCCAATAGAAAGACTCTCATTGGGTTTGAACGGGGCATCGGAGGGAGGGAGGGAGGTTGGTCGCCCGGCCTGGCCCAGTTCTGAGTTCACTCCGGAGCCCATGCTGGACTCTGCTGTCCGTGTCTTGGCTCTGCCCCGGCCTCCCTCGCTTTCCCAGCTGCCTTGGGCACTGCAGCTGCCTGGAGCCCAGCTCCCACCTTGGCACCCGACCAGCACGCCAGAGCCTCGTAAAAAACAGGCCACTAAAAAAACAACTTGGCAGCTGGCGCTGAGTGGCTGTTGAGCCTGCCCCCCCCCACCCCACCCTGGCCAGATTGGCACAGCCGCCGCTTGGCATCTGATTGGCTGGCTCCGTCGCGTGATGGCCGTCAGCCACTGGGATTCCTCCGGCGACGTTGGCACCTGGCAGAGATGCTAGGCGGAGCGCGGCTGGTGGTGCAGCGAGGAGCCGTTACCCTCCCCCCAGAGCCCCCACGTGAGCTTGGTCCGGAAGGGGCAGCTCTTTGCTCTTAAAGAAACAGGGGCTTAAAATTCCACACACACACACACACACACCCCCGCCCCTTCAGAAATGAAATGCCTCTCCCCCAGCCCTGACTCTGGGCCCAACCCTGCTGCTGGGAGTGGCTGGACCCTGGCCATGCTGCGGGCTCACACACAGCCCCCAAGGCCTGTCACAGCTGGAGCTGGGAGCTGGAGTGTGGATTTTTCAGCTGCTTTTAATTAGCATCGCTTATTATTTAATCCATAATTCATTAGCTGGTGTTTGCAGGGCACAGCGTTCCCAGCTGCAGCACTGTGTCACTAGGTGGCACCCTTCCCTCTAAGGCCCGGCTCCTCGGCCGTGCAGCCCAGGGACCACGTGGCTTTAGGCTGGCACTGCAGTTTGTTGTGCAGAGTAGGGCGGCCCCTGGCGGCCCCTGTCCCAGAGCCCCTTGCGCTAGGCGCTGTACGCCCACAGAACAGAGGCCATCCCTGCCCTGGTGCTTACAGTGCTGACAGGGAGAGGCCAAGGTGACAGGGAGACTAGGAGACACGCCACAGCCGGCACTGGGAGATTATTACAGATTGGGGGAGGGAGTTCCTAAGGGTCTGAGATCAGGGTCCTGGCCAGGACCCTACCCCGGGACCTGCTCCTGGGATTTCCACAGGGCACAGGATTCCTTGTCGTGTCCCGTTCTGAGCGGCTGTTGTTAAACGTCGTGTTCCACCCCAGAGGGGGCCGTGTTTCAGCAACCGGTGGAATGAGCCCAGCGTATCCCTTCCCTCCGTGGTGGGTGTTGGTGGGTCTGTGTCTGAGGAGCCAGGGGTGAGCCCCGCCAGAGGAAAGGCCCTGCATCGGGGCTGATTAGGCGATCGCATGCTAAGCAGGACAATTCTAATGACGAACACATTAGCTGGGTGCCTCTCGGGAAGCCCAGCTGTGACCCAGCAGAACAGTCACCTCTGGCACGAGTCAGACAGCCTCAGCTCTCCCAGTGGTGCTGGCTTGGCAGTCCCTGCCGCTCTGTGTTCAGCCACAGCCTGGGCACCCCGGGGAGAGCCCAGAGCACCACGAGGGGCCAGAGGGCACGGCCAGGCCTCACTCGGTCCCTGTGGAATGCCAGCCAGGCTGCCAATTAGTGCCGATTGTTCTGGTGCCATTTGTGTGGCGGACAGTTGGCAGCGAGGTGGTGGCGAGCCCTGTGCTGCCGGGAATTCGCCCCCCTCCGCTTTTCCCTTCTCCATTTGTCCACGTGTTGGCAGAATGAATGCAAGGACTGTAAACACTGGGCTGTTTGTCTGGTGTCTCTAGGGGAGGTTGGAGGCTGGGAGGAACTCAGGTGAACACTGAGCTCATTCATTGTGGTTTGAACCCCCCAGGGAACAAAGGTATGTGCAGAGAGACCAGGTGCGCTGCTGCCGGCTGCCTGCGCCCTCCGCTCTGCACAGCATCGGCTAATGTAAACTGCAGCTCGGGTTGCTCTGCCAAGGGGCCAGGGCACTTCCAGAGAACACCGAGCAGCTGCTGACCCAGCAAAGCGGGGGCTAAACTAGGGCTGTCAATTAATCACCGTGAACTCAAATGATTAACTCGATTAAAAAAATTAATCGCAATGAATCGCACTGTTAAACAATAATAGAATACCAATTGAAACTGATTATAAATATTTGTGGGTGTTTTTCTACATTTTCAATATGCTGATTTCAACTACAGCCCAGAATACAAAGTGTACAGTGCTCACTTTATATTATTATTTTTGATGACAGATATTTGCACTGTGATAAAGATAAAGAAAAGAAATAGAATTTTTCAATTCATCCCATACAGGTTACTGGAGTGCAATCTCTTTATCCTGAAAGTGGAACTTACAAATGTAGATTTGTTTTTGTTGCATAACTCAAAAAAAACCCCATGTAAAACTTCAGAGCCTACAAGTCCACTCAGTCCTACATCTTGTTCAGCCAATCGCTCAGACGAACATATTTGTTTACATTTACAGGGTCCTACCTCTAATTCCCCACCCTGTAATGCACTTTCACAACAAAGAGATTGCACTACAGTACTTGTGTGAGGTGAATTGAAAAATACCATTTTTAAAATCTTTTTTACAGGGCAAATATTTGCAAACAAAAATCATAATAGAAAGTGAGCGCTGGGCACTTGGTATTCTGTGTAGTAAGTGAAATCGATATATTTGAAAATGTAGAAAACATCCAACAATATTTAAATAAATTGGTATCTATTCGTGTTTAACTGCGATTAAACCTGCGATGAATCGTGATTAATTTTTTTAATTGTTTGACAGCTGCGGGCTAAACCCAAAGCCCCGAATACCACGTGGTTTTTAGCAAAAGTCGCACCCCATCCCCATGGTCGCTCTCCGCTGATCATGCTGTTACTGCAATGTGTGCGAGTGCGACCTCTGCTGACTGGCTTCGGAAGTGCTCCACTGCGTGTCATAGCCTCTGTAGGGCTAGTGGGGGAGTTGGCTCAAGGGGCAGGGCCTGTGCTCTCAGCGCCGGCAGAGCTGAGTTCTGTTTCCCGCGTCGCCGTGCCGTGTAGCAGAGGGACAGCTGGGAGACACCAGTACCTACAAGCGCGGTTGCAGGACATGATGCCTGGGATCCGCTGCCCGGCTGGCTCCACAGCGTCGCGCTGGGCTCGCGAGTGGTGGGAGGCCAGGAACAATCCAGGGTGCCGCAGGCAGCAGGGTCGCCATTCACGGGGCGGGGAGGTGGGATTCTTCCGGCTGAACCACCCCTTCAGCAATGGTGGGGTGCTGTGCTCTTCCCTCAGGGTCATGCCCGATGCCTCAGGGTGACACTAGGGGGTTCTGTGCTGAGGGCAGCCGGGTGGGCGACTCAGCAGGGCCCCTTTTCCC